TTTTGTGTTCGCTAGTTCGAAAAAAAGCCGACCGGGTCTATTTGGAAGATGCCTTGTTCGTTTCGTAATTGAAACGAAGCGTGGTTTCACCTATTAAAAATTTAATATGCAGCTTCCAAATAGACCCGGTTTTGCTCACCCCCCCCCCCCTCCCCACCCAAATCGCGCCACTGGGAGGGGGTAGGGGGTGGGGTTACTACTCTACGACAACCACCCAAACTCCCCGAACCCACTGATCCAAACGCCTGGGGCCTCCGGCCTCGGCGGATTACTTTGTCATCATTATTTTATCACTTGTATCAATCCCGCCCCTCCCCCAACCTCACTCGACGCCCCACCATCCGCTTCACCTCTCTCTCTCCTCCAACCCTCCAATCCTCCGCTTCTATTCTACCCTCCATCCCCACCCCACGCCTATCCACACCGTCACGCCACACCCTCCCCCTTTCCACCCTCACCCAAAGAAACAAATCACAAACCTTAGTTTTCAAGATTGTGTTTGTGTAAGTTCTCCTTCACCAGAAAAGACACGCCACTTTGTTAACCTATTCTGTGGCCCCTTTAGCGAAAAAACAAGCCCCATTTTGTTAGTGAGTGCTGTAGCCCCTTTCGTTTTCCTCTTTTTCGCCGACAGAGAAAAGCCCCATTTTGCTAGTTTATGCTGGGGCCTGGCCCTTCTCGTTTCACCCCCCAAAAAAGACACGCCACCTCCTTAAGCTATTCTGTGGCCCGATACCGAAAAACAAGCCTCATTTTGTTAGCGTATGCTGTGGCCCTTTCCCTTTCCTCGTTTTTCCACGGACAAAGAGAAGCCCCATTTCATTTGTCCACGCCATGGCCCGGCCCTTCTCGTTTCACAAAAACACCACGCCAGTTTGTTAACCGTCCCTTTACCGAAAATACACTCCATTTTGTTAGTGTATGCTGTGGCCCCTTTCCCTTTCGTCATTGATCACCGGAAAAACCGTTTGATTCGTTCTCGCTGCGGCCCGGTCACTTCTAATTTCACCAAAAAGGACACGCCACTTTGTGAACCTGTTCTCTGGCCCGTTCCGTTTCCTCGTTGTCACCGACAAAAACGCCCCACTTTTTCAGTGTATCCTGTGGTCCGGCCATTCTTGTTTCAGCAAAAGATCGCACGCCATGTTGTTAAGCTATTCTCTGGCCACTTTGCCTGTCTGCTTGCACCGAGGAGACAAGTTGCAGGCCTTAGGGGACGTACACCAAAAATGATGGGGATCAGGGCTTGCGATTGGTCCCTTTGGAGGAAACCTTAGACAAAAGATCCAAGGGACCAGGGCCTGCGATTTGTCTTTTAAGTCTTTGGAGAACCCGGACCATCGCAGCGGGGCAAGGCAAAACGGGATGAGGGGGGACACCCGTTGCACGAGAAAGATATGGGGGACACCCCCTGCGATTGAAGCTTTTCTAGAGACTCGTCGCCAGGTGAAGGGCCACTCCTTGCAAATGAAGGTTCTCCAGAGCACCCTCACCCAAAGAGACACGTCTCGATTCTTAGTTTTAAAACTTTTGGGTTTAAGATTTCCTCAAAACAGACAAACCGCAAGCCCTGGTCCCTACAGATCCCTACAGTAAGGCTTTTGGGGCAAGTTCTTCCCCAATTTCCAAAACATTAGAGAATTAGAGAAGTTATCAGGGACACTCATTGCGATTCAAGGCTTTCTAAAGATATCGCCAGAAAGCATACAGGGATGAGGGGGCACTCCTTGTGGTTCAAGGTTTTCTAGAGCATCATCGCCAATAAACATGAGGGGGCACTCCTTGCGATTGAAGGTCTTCTAGGGCATCATTGCCAGAGAAGATGAAGGGATGAGGGGGGCACTCCTTGCAATTGAAGGTCGTCCAGAGCACCCTAGCCCAAAGAGACAGATTGCAAGCCCTAATGTTTCATGTTTTGGGTTTGGTCGTTAAGTGTTCGATTTAAGTTCTCTTCCAATAGAGAAGCATGTCACCAAAAATGATAGGGATCGGGGCTTGCGATTTGTCCACTTGCAGGAAAGCTAAAGACATCTGGACCCGGACCAGAGCAGGGGGGGAAAGCAAAGCAGGTTGAGGGGGACGCTCCTCACACTATGAGGGACACTCCTAGCGATTGAGGGTTTTTCTGGAGAATCATCGCCAGAAAAGATGTCGGGATAGCAGGGACACACGTTGCGATGGAAAAGAGTTGAAAGTCTTTCCAAGCCGCTGGAATGGGAAATGTTCTATGCGAAAGGCCTAGAAAGTCCCCTCATCTCGTCGGGTGTCCCCCTCACTTTTCCTGTTGATGCTCAGTTTTAAGTCTTGATTGGCAAGGAGTGCCCTTCTCATCTCTTCTCGTGAAATCCTCCATCGCAAGCAATGTCCCCGCTCTGCGTTCTGGGGTTGATCTCCTGAAACCGTCAGTTGCAAGCAGTGTGCCCTTCACCTTGCCTTATGTCTAAACTCTTCCAGTCCTGAGTCACCAGTCGTGCTCCCCTCATCGCTTCTGGTGAAGACCCTTATTATGTCCCCCTCATCTTTTCTGGTGACGATGCTCTAGAGCACTCTTTTCAGCTGGCGACGTTCTTGTCGATGTTCCCAGCTGCAAGCCATGTCCTCTCATCTTCGGGTGTCGCTGCTCTTGAGCGTCACCACCTCATCTCTTTTGGCAAGGATCCTCGCGAAATGCTTGGGCGCAAATACCCCTGTACCCCTCGCTTTTTGGATAAGGTCACTGTGTCCTCATCTATTCCTGTGATGTTGCTCTTCAGTCCATCAATCGCAAGCAGCGTCCCCCGGCACCTTTTCTCGTGGTGACCCTCTTCAAATCCCGATCGCAAGCCGTGTCCCCCTCAGTTGTTCTCGTGATGATGCTCTTGGCATCCCGCATCGCGTTGCCACCTTGATCCACTAGAACAGCCTCAATCATAGGTCGGGTCCCCTTTATCTGTTTTGGCGATGATGTTCTGGAACCCTCTTTTTCTCTAGGGGTGTCCTCTTCATTCTTTATCGGTAGGGATGCTCTTGAACTCCTCACCTCTCAAGGGAGTGTGCCCCTTATGTTTTCTGGTGGCGATTCTCTTGAAATCCTCACTCGCAAGCAGTGTCCCCCTCACCATCGTTGTTGAAGGTCCTCTTGAAACCCCTAATCGCCAGGAGCGGGCCCTCATATTTTCTGGCGCTGTTGATATCCTCAACATCTTCGGGCGTTGGCATGGAGTGTTCCCCTCATCTCTTTGGCATTGAGCCTTTTTTGGCGGGAATCGTTTCATGGAGTCACAGCCGTGATTTGCTCCCGCGGCGGGCAACACTTTGATGTAGCGGCTCGAGGGTGTTACTGTAGCACATGTCAAGTCGAGGTGGGCATCAAAACCACTGGCAGAGCAGAGTTGCCCTTCCTTACATGAATTGATGACTCAATGACGATGACTCCCCTAACATCTGTAACATCTTCAATTCAGGGAATCGATTGGTGCTTGAATGTCAAACGCATCGATAGCATGGGAAATTGTCGATGAGCAGAATTTGATCAAGAGCGGTTGCGAACCAGACTAACAGGTGGAAATCAGGATTGTCTGAAACGCTTTCGACAACACCAAGCGACCGCAAGTCACAGACCACAGGGATTCTCGAAGGACATCCTGACTTAAGGATCTGGAAGTCCTTGCGTGGCTCTGACGCTCATCCCGGAGTAGTGCGTTAAGTGGTTTCGGGCCGGGCCGCACACATGGCGACGAAGCCGCAGCCTGCATCGACTCGGATCATTCATTTCTCGGGCCAGACTCCAGAGCTGCAGTGGCTGGACAACCTTTGCTGTGCCGGCTACCCTATTCAGATTGACGGACGCAGCTGGCCCAGCACGGAGCATTATTTCCAGGCACAGAAATTCGTGACCACCTGCCCGGAGTTGATGGAACGCATTCGAACATTGCCTACGGATTCTGTCGAAAGTAATTTCGAAGCAAAGCGCTTGGGCCGCTCTGGGCGGCTGAGAGCAGACTGGGAGCAGGTGAAATATTCGATCATGAGGCCCGAGGTCATGATGTTTTCGTGCTTAGTTGAGACTGAATAGCGATTGGGTGTTGATGTGTTTCCTCTCTAATTTCACAGAGATGCTATTCAGGACAGCTGTGCTGGCAAAGTTCTCCCAGCATGAAGAGCTGCGGCGCCGATTGTTGCACGACGTCCCCTGTGAGGCCATATTTGTCGAGCACTGTGCTGATGCAGAGTGGGGCGATGGCGGCGACGGAAGTGGCAAAAACTTGTTTGGAAAAGTTCTCACAGAAGTAAGAGACACCCTCGCGCAGCAAGAGAGGCAGCAATCAAGCTCTTTTTTGCCTGCAGAAGACGGGGACTGCAGTGTCATGTCAGGGAAGCCGGCCCTCGTGCTTAAAATGCCTGCCAAATTGCAGCACTTAATTCATCAGTATATATCAGTCAGTGGGTGAGCTCGTGGGAGCTTGATTGATGCGTGGTTCAGTCGCACTTGTCGATTTTGGGACTGCGTGTCCTTTCGCAAGCAATCTTCAGGAATTGATTGGATCATTCCCATACCGCCGCTGAGGCGGCGAGCTCAGCGAGTGAAGTTTGCTTTCGCAGTCAGGTTTCGGGAGGATTGCCACGTTGTATCACGTTCTCAGCATTGCTTTTGCGCTGTGTATAGGCCGCTAACAGATGGAATCTGCTTTGCTCCTTGGCGGCATCTGGATGGTAGCCGTGTCGGGAAGCTGCAGTCCTGGGCTGCCAAATGTGAGAGCCAGACGGTCTAGACTCTAGACAGTCTAGACAACTCTACGCGTCAGTTTGTAGCCGTGCTTTTTTGCAAGGCCCGGACTGCGCGGGCCTCAACGCACTGGTTTTTTTTATAGTCAATCTTGTTAGTAAAGATTGTTCCGGGATTGGTGCATGAGCAAGACATGCATGTTCCCACCGCCCATTCTACAGAGCTCTGGCTCTTACCGTACCAGCATGACGTGACAGAACATGACTTACAGCTTTTCTGACGAGATGGAGTGCAGCATAATGCAGAGGGGGGGTTGAATGTGTGGTGCTCGACTACCGTTCCACGCACACACAAGACATCACCAGACCAGCTGAGCAATCGTCACACGCACATCGAAGGGACACAAGCCCGCCATGGCGCTCGTTTTGGCAGCGAGCACTCGGGATTGGGCGGAAGTAGAAAGGCTCCTGAAAGTCGGCTCCGATCCTCGGCACAAGCAGCGGCCATGAAATTCAACCTTGAATGGCTAGGCAATGCATGGCACTGTTTTTAGAGAATTTCATGCTGAGGATGTGAACAAGCAAGACAGGTGCGATGTCTGGTTACAATGCGCTGTGAGGTGGAAGAAGTACGTCACTGATCTGTGTCTGGTTGCGCCCATGAGGTCAGGTCAGTCGTGCCTCATGTGGACCGCGCAGTGGGACAACCTGAAAATGGAAGCTCGAACTGAAAGATGGACACAGGTGTACTGCGCCAAGCCTCCCCGAAGCTTCGACATAAATCTTGCCAGATGAGGTACGACTTTTGCTCGAAAGAAGAGCTGCAGTGGATTTGAAGAGCTTGGGGCTCAGCTTTTGGTCTTAGGGACGTAAGTAAGTGTTTCAAGCCCACCCGATAAAGCCCAGTTGTGTGAGGCAACCATGGCGTTTCGGCACTGATGTTCGCAGCCGACAGCAACGCAAGAGACATAGTCCGGGTGTTGCTGACGCACAAGGCGTCTCGAGCTATGTTGGCTTTCCTGCCAAACTACCAGAACACCATCCCAGCCATATTAGCCTTCATGTCTGAGCTGGTCAGGCCAGCCCTGATGAAAAGTCAAGGCATCTTGACTTGATTTTAAACTCCGTCGAACTACAGCACGGCATAAACAAGCCATCCAGGCTAAGATGGACAGACCAGCACGCTCTGAGCTCTCTTGAACTGTAAGAGGCACGGAATGAATGCGCTGCTGCTAGCAGCCAAGATCCTTGGAGTGCACTGCAGGATGCCAGAAGGGCCATTGAGCAGCGTTGTGATCATCTCCACTTTCAGGAATGGGGCAGCTCAGACTATACGTGTGCTGCTAGAAGGGCAAGCTGACATCAATGCCCAGGCTGCAACTGATGGGTCCTACACCGTCCGGCCATGACGTAACATGATGCCAATTGAGTTGAGAATTCGCAAGCTCAGGGAGCAGGTGGCATGACGGCCCTTATGTATGCTGCAGCCGATGATCATGCGGATGCCGTGCAGGTTCCTTGCCAACACCATGGTGCATATCACGTGTAAAATCCGGGCTTGCGGACATGTGCGATGATGATACTTTATGGTGATCTTCTGGAGCAAGGTGCTGCTGGATCATGGTGCCGATGTGAACGTGCAAAATCGGGGTCGGGGCCTTGCGCAAGCCCGGGGGTGCCATTCAGCTGACTTCTTTATTCGCAGAGCACCCTGCAGATCGGCAGACTGCCCTTATCTTGGCGACGCAGAAGAACGCAACCTTGCGAGCACGACACAACTTTGCTCCAATGGCGTGGCCCTCTATGGCAAGCCACAAGCGCCTGGAATCACAATTGGTTAGTTAATTTGTTGTCACATTCCTGGGGTCCCCAAGGTGGAGTACGTGAATGGCGTATCTCACTTGCCATCGGCAGGTTCCTCAGTGCCTCCTGGAGTGACGTGTCGTGGAGCGCGAGCTAGTGGTAGTAGAAACGCTAGGTGCTTGACTTCTTGCTGGCAGCTCAATCTGAGCTTGTGCCTTGGACCGCAGTGCGGGCATCAAGAGACATGTCCTAGCTCAGCACATGCCGCTGGAACATACCCAGCCCCAGGAGCTTCAAGACCGAGAGGGGAAAAAGGCCTTGGACTACGCAGGCCAGGGCCAGGGAACAAAAGGACGACGAAATTTGCACGAAACTTGAACCTTGACGGGAATCACTGCTGGACAGTGCGGTTATGAGCACCATCGACATGCTTGTAGGTGGCAAGGCAGAGCAACTCCTCAGAAGCTGGCCCAACCGAGTGGCACGCTTGGCGGCGGCACTGGAGGCTTCGTGCTTTTCTCTTGATTTCCTACGCAGTGGGACGTGTGCACAGGAAACTTAGTGAGCGCGCAGGAAATGATTGTTCATTCAATGTGCCTCCTTGCCATGGGCGTCATCTCGGCCGTCTGTGTTAGACAAGTAACGCACAAGCCAAGAGGCCCGCAAGCACAGGTCTCTTCAAAACTAGAACATCAATCTGAAGCAATAGGCTGTATCGACACCGTTGGAATCTGAGGCCTGCTGATACCACAGTTTCTTGCAACGCCAATACATGCCGTCCAGAACAATGGCCCTGGTTTGAGAGCAGAGATTGCAACACTACAGTTGCATCTGTTGGAACATGCGACACCAAGTAGCTGTCATGGTGTCGTCCAGGTTCAGGAAAACCTTGCGCATTGCACTGGCAGGGCTTCTTCACATTCCAAAAAAAGCCTGTCTCAGAAAGGAGGAGCCACGGCCCGACGACCCAGAAGTGATCGAGTCTGAGCCACTGCCATGACATTGAGGCAGTACTGCACCCTAGTACCCTTTGCAGACGGGCATGGACTTGCCCCACTGTACACTGTAGCCCAGCACGAAAACAGTGCTTTCATTCATGGTGTCACTGTATCACCCTGCACATGGCCAAAGGTGCCTTGCGCAATGTAGGTCCCAATCAGACTCCCGAATATCGGACTGCTTCGAGCAGAAAGCGGCCCAGCGGCCCGAAAATCGCTTTTTTGGCTCGCTGCCTGCAGCTCTCGCCAAGGATGAGCCAGTGGGACCTAGCGGATACGCTGCAGCCTACGAGGCATGTCTCTGAGGGATCTTTGCACTCTGACTCGAAGTGGTCTGTTGTGAGGATTCGCAGTGGCAAGAAGCAGAAGATATTTGGCGAAGTAGATACCACGTCCTGGGCCCAGTGTGTGTCGCATGCTTTCTGAGTCGCAGGCCCTTTTTGAGGCCGGTGCTTGAATCAAGAGAACTGTGAGGCCCAGCGGAGAAGCAGCGAAACGGCGCCAGAAACTAGGCCGTCCCTTGACAAAAGTTGCTTCTTCCCACCTTTCGCGTCCTAGCCGTAATGCATCGGCATAATTTGCACGGGCGGAGCGCTTTCTCGATTTTCTCGTGCTTATCGCCGCTGAGGTTCTCTTCGGTGGTCCGATGGTTTGCAGGACTTGCCTCTTACATCTCTCGGATTCACTGGAGTGTGACAGGTTGACGTTGAGGTTCCATGGATTTTGAACAAGATGTGCGCGATTTGCAGTTGCATTCCTGACCGTTCTTGCCTTGTAAAACAGCAGGAGAACCAGCAGAACACACTGTTTGAGTGTCTCGGCGGAGTGACAGCTTCGTTTCAATCAAAGACCTCAAGATTGATTGCTGTGCAAGGTCGGGCTTTCTGTTTGCGTCTTGCATGCATGGCAGCTGAAGACTGTCATTTTCCACCCTGCAAAGTCGGGGGTTGTAGCTTATTTCGATTTGCCAGCATGGCACAGCCGGTTCATGCGTGAACCGTATTGTAGCGCGAGCCGGGCTTGCATCGACTAGCTGACTCGCGAAGCAGGTGTCAAGTGGCGAGCTCTCAGCAACGAAACCTGGTTCGTGGAATGAAGAGGGCCGGAATCGACAGGCACCTTCGATGAGCTCTTGAATGCAGCAGGCCTGGATCTGGCCAACGAGGCCTGGGCTTCCCGAGCTCGCGGGCTCGACTCAATGCAGTAGGCGCCTGTGCATATCCGTTTTTCAGAATTTCGCCGTGTGTGTCACCATCGTCCACTTGTTGGTCGCTTTCTTGCGACCTCTGTTACTCTCTCGTTGTGCAAATTGCTTCTGCTGCTGCATGTCACTGCTTTCATTTTTGCCTGTTGCTGCCCTTTTGTGTGTGTGTGTGTGTGGGTTCACCCTGGTTGCTTGTTGCTGTTTCTTTTTGGTGTCTTCATTCCGGACTTGTGCATGTGAAGCAGGGGTGTCAGTCTTTTCTGTAGCATGTCTTGCCGGTGTTTCTTAGGTCGGTTTCGTGTTCATTCAATACCCTGGTGTTTGTACACATCTCACCAGCCTTTCTTTGCACATTCGTGCTGACACTGGCTGTCCAAGCACGCGCTGTTCTGTTCTGTTTGCCGTTGAATGCTGTTGACTGTTGTGGTTTCTTGTTGGTGCTTCCGTTGATGTGAGTGTAGATACTTCAGCAGCCGAAATTACAGTGGCAGAACAAACCAAGATTAAACTCTGTAATTGGGTAAAACCTCCGGTGCCCACACAGCGGCAACATCACGCACAACCACTGTTAACAGTTTTTTGTTCAGACAACTATTAGACCTTTGCTTCCCTCATGTCGCATCCACTTCGGTGGCTGGCGCAGATGTTGCAACAAAGAGATTCGGGGCCGTGGGTAACATTTGGGCCACCGCTCGTCCAGGAACCTTGCACAACTAACCGAACAACATAAATCACCCTCGCAGTCGGAGTTGTACTTGGTGTCGCACGGCGCATAGCGGAATGCACAAGCGATCATGGGTGATCCTTATGCATGAACAAGCAGAACAAAGCCTGCATTTCAACATGGGCGTACATGATGACCTAGATTATTATTAACATGTAACCGCGGAGTACATAACAATGATGCATAATGCCATCATAATGCCTGTAGATAGCACTAATATGCACGTCGCTTGTGCTACATGTGGGGTTATGTGTTTGTGTTCACAGCGTATCCACTTCGTCTCTGGACGGATCAGGGCACGACACACCCGAGGTGGAACCTCCGCCGGAGGATGCTTCACAGCTTTGGCACTTCTGGGGCGGCGGAGGCTTTCCCAAGCTCGGTCTCGCGCCGCAGGATGCACGTCGTTTCGAGCCTTCTGCCCGAGGCAACACCGGCATGTCTGGCCAGATGACCAACAACCCAGAGCTCGTGCCATCGGAGAATGAGGACCTTGAAGCATTCACGGTATACACTGTCGCATAGCAAAACGACTTTGAGGAGTCACGTGCGTTCCACTTCTCGCACAAGGGTGTTGCTGTTTCAGCGCTGCAGCTGCAGAGATGCGGAGATCGTGACCTGAGTACGAAGTTAGGGGCAGTGACAAGCAGTAGTAGGCCTGAACGACTCGGCCAAGGTGTCAGAACGGCGGCGGCAGCCGAAAGATCCGCTAGCAACAGACTACACCGGAGACTTGGTCTTTCTCTCAGCCCTGCATTAGGCGATGGTGCATGTTGGGCAGTTCAGATCAGGTCTGGCCCACAGCGGTGGCCTTCAGCAGATACATCTGCCACACGGCCGAGAAGTAGGAACGTTCTGTTGAATATCTTGTATGATGCATTTCTTACACAGTACACACACATGTATGTATGTATGTATGTATGTATGTATGTATGTATGTATGCAAGGACGACTTGTAGCGCAGCCGTGTCTTTCGCTTGTAGCACTGTGTATAGCCTTTGTCCTGCACTGCTGGGGTTTCACGCTGTCCCTCTTAGTGGTGCTGCCTTGTGCTTTGAGGGGATGGCGGACATGTTGCTTCTGTCACCTGCTATGCGGTGTCTGCGGATATTGCCACGCGGGAGCCAAAAGTATGTATGTATGTATGTATGTATGTATGTATATTTATATGTATATTTATATACATATAAATATGCATATAAATATACATATATATATACATAGATATACACAGACCTTAGATTGCACTTCTCGACTTACTTTTCGTTTGCATATCCACCAAACGCCGCGTGCGAATCCACAAACGTCCGCAAGGCATCGCCGCAGCGGTTGCTTGCCCAAGCTAATGCCAGACACCGATTAACAACCCCCCCGATTAGACGGGGCCGTCCCGAAAAATCCAAGCCGCTAATGAACACTTCCATTGGAACCCACCCAATTAAAACCGGAGCCCAAATGAACCCCCCCCCGATTTGACGGGACCCGCCCCAAAAATCCCCGATCTAAGATTTTAGGGTTTAGGGTTTAGGTTTAGTAAGGTCCGCCCCCGGACTGTGGATTTGGAAGCCCTCTGCCTTTCCCTTAAAGCCCGAAGCTTTGAGATATAAGGGTCAGAGATCCCTGGCCTTGGGATCCCTGGGATTTCGGTGAAATCCAACCCTGCCAGAAACAGCTGTTCCCTTATTAATCCGTATATAAAAAATCAAGTTTTTCAAGTTTTCAAAGGCTACCCCTTTGCAGGGCCTGCCCCCCCCAAATAGCGGGAAACCCCCGCCGATTAAGAAGGTCCGCCCCCGGACCGTGGATTTGAAAGCCCTCTGCCTTTCCCTTAAAGCCCGAAGATTTGAGATATAATTAAGGGTCAGAGATCCCTGGCCTTGGGTTGGATTTCGGTGAAATCCAACCCTGCCAGAAACAGCTGTTCCCTTATTAATCCGTATATATAAAAAACAAGTTTTTCAAGTTTTCAAAGGCACCATGGCTGGATGCAAACTCGCTAGAAAATCTATCTCATGACAAACCACCACAACAAATTGAATCAAACTCATGCTCACACCTCATGCATGTCGCGGTGCTCATGCCTGTGATGCTCACAGCTCATCCAAAGCACTGTCCCAGGTTTAGGGTTTAGTTGAGGGGGTGTAAGGTTTAGGGTTTTAGGGCTTAGGGGTTTTAGGGTTTAGGGTTTAGTTAAGGGGGTGTAAGGTTTAGGGTTTTAGGGCTTAGGGTTTAGTTAAGGGGGTGTAAGGATCAGGGTTGTTTAGCTACGGGGGTTTAAGGTGTTGGGTTTCAGGGTTTGGGGCTTAGTTAAAGGGGTTTGAGGTGTAGGGTTTCAGGGTTTGGGGTTGAGGTAAAGGGGTTTAAGGTGTAGGGTTTCAAGGTTTGGGGTTTCGTTAAGGGGAATTAAGGTGTAGGGTTTCAGGGTTTGGGGTTTCAGGGTTTGGGGTTTAGTTGGGTTTCAGGGTTTGGGGTTGAGGTAAAGGGGTTTAAGGTGTAGGGTTTCCACGGTTTGGGGCTTAGTTAAAGGGGTTTGAGGTGTAGGGTTTCAGGGTTTGGGGTTGAGGTAAAGGGGTTTAAGGTGTAGGGTTTCAGGGTTTGGGGTTTAGTTAAGGGGAATTAAGGTGTAGGGTTTCAGGGTTTGGGGTCTAGTTAAGGGTGTTATTACCCTCTAATGCCCCACCCTCCCCATGTGCTTTGCTTCTCTCTCATGCGAAGCTCAGGAAAGCCATCCCCTCATCGCACCCATGAAAAATGCCATGCTGCCTCATTCATTAATTACTTTCCTGGCGCTAGGCCAGCCTGAACCTAATCCTAAACCCTAAACCTTAATTAAACCTTAAACCCATAGAGAAAACTTATCCCTAAACCCTTCAAACTACTTATTGCGGCTCATGGCTGGCGTCATGGGTGCTTCCAAACTCGCCCATCTCCTCATGGGCCGAAAAGCCTTATGGCTCTTCACTGATAATTACTCATGGCACAGCCCATCTCCTCATGGACCCATGCCAAGGGAAAACTCATGCCTCATCCCGGGGCATGAAGTGCTCATGAAGCGATCTCATGAAAGCCTTGGGCTCAGGAGCCTGCTCATCGACCCATGTTCTGAACTTGCGAGGCTCATACTGGTTGCGGTCCATCCCATGGCACAGCTTGGCGAGCCAATGCTTTCCTCGGCTGATGATAACTGATTCACTAATTAACTAATAATTTAAGATTACTGAAATAATAAGTTAGATTAGCATAAAATAGAAGTAATTACTCAAAAAGGATAATTAAGAAGTTGCCCAGCTACCTCTCATGTCACCCATGACGGTGTCCCATGTGGCCATCTGGAAGATGCCGGTCCTGACAGCTCATGGGGGGGGGAGTTGGGTTATGGGGTTTGGGCCCTAACTACTCTTACTTATCATTGCTGTCCTCATCGCCGAGCCCATGTTCTGGATGACCTCGCTCATCACCATGTGCTTGTCTGAGATCTCATCATTGCGAGGGTCTTAGAGCCTCATCTGCTAATTAGGGCTACCCTTAAACCCCAATTAATTACTCATTCTTACCAAAAACAATAGTTAATTATTGCAGCATCCAGACCCATCGGAGTCATAGGCCCATGTCTTGAAGAGGCCAATGTTCACCTCAGGGGTTTAGGGTACTTATGGCTTTGGGCTTAGGGTTTAAAGGGGTTAGGGGGCTAGGGTTTAAAGGGGTTAGGGGTTTAATTAGGGTTTAATTAAAGGCTTCCACATGGGCCTCAACCCATGCCACCGAGCAAATGATGGGCCACTGCCCATGCAGCATTGGGTGGCTCATGACAATGTCGTACTCCTCATGTACAAACTGAAACCCTAAACCCTAAACCCTGAAACCCTAGACCTTAAACCCCTTTAACTAAACCCCAAACCCTGAAACCCTACACCTGAAACCCCCTTAACTAACCTTAAACCTTACACCCCCTTATCTAAACCTTATACCCAGGGGCATAGAGCATCCATGCATGGATGAGCTCATCTCTCATCCAGGTGTCGCATCGCCACTGCCTCATGTGTGGGCGATTTGTCATTACTAATTAATGTATTGTCACTAACTATAAATACTTAATTAGTACTATTATGCTTATGAAACCTACTATATTTATGATTTGTACTCTTATTATTACGATTCTTATTACTAATAATTACTTATTTCTTATTTGTGGCCCAGCCACTGCCAATTCACCAAGACCCATGACCTCCCAGCACTCATGCGGTTGGCCACGTGGCGAATGCGGTCCCTCATGCCCCCATGCACCTCATCCTCGGTTGAAAACCAGCTAATTACTCATTTCAACCCCTCAATACCTCATTCACTAATTATCTAAAAGAAAACCAAAATGCTTAATCATCAGACTCATGACAGCTCTGCGCTCCATGTTGTGGAGCAACCCATGGATCTGCACCAGCATGCTGATGATCTCATTGCCCATCCTCGGCTCCAATTGCTAATTACTGTATTATTTAGTGCATACATGATCCCTTATTAACTAATTACTAATCCTTAGTGATTACTCACTATGTACCAGTCATGCCCCAGTCTCTCTCCCATGTTCATCTGGCCCATGCCCGGGTTGCCCATGCCCGGGTGGCCCATTCCCGGGTTGCTCATGCCCTGGGCGCCCATGTTGCCACTCATGTTGGAGCTCATTCCGAAGCTCATGGCGAGGGGCGATGAACGAAGGCTGATGCGGAGGGTTTGAGGCTTATGGCAAGCTCATGGCCGGCCACGCTTGAACCTCAAGTCTTTGAACCCCTTCCGAACCCCATCCGAACCCCCTTTGAACCCCATCCCCACCCCATTCGAACCCCATCCGAACCCCATCCGAACCCCATCCGAACCCCTTACTTACACTAATGCTACTACTACTACTACTACTACTACTGCTAATACTAATCCAGCTGCTGCTGCTACCGCTACCGCTACCGCTGCTGCTACCGCTGCTGCTGCTGCTGCTGCTGCTGCTGCTGCTTCTGCTGCTCTTCTGCTGCTGCTGCTGCTGCTGCAACTGCCACTGCCACTGCCACCACCACTGCCACGGACGCTGCCACT